ACAACACATCTCGATTTTTGGTTGACTTTCGTCCCGGAAGGTTCGTCGGGATATAACGCTCTCGATCGAGCTCGCGTTCTGCGGTGTTGTATGAAAACAGAAAGCTTAGCGCGAAATATATCGGGCAGCGATATATCTCGAGCGCGCTGCGCAGTTTTTCCGTCGCTTTTAATCCCGCGTACCAGCGATGCTATTATTGCCTACAATTCAAGCACACGTTGACAGCCTGCAGTCGATTATTTTCCCCGCGGTGAAACATTCGTACCGCGGTACCTCGGTAACCAGCGGCCGGGCTCTCTCTTACTCGCGTTCGTTAAACACCGTCCAAATTTATGCTTTATGCGATCTGACGGTGTAACGAGAGCGAGCGAAACTTTATCGGATTACAATCAGGATACTCCCCGCGGCTTCGTTGCTTTCGATTCGATTAAAATCGTCCGGGAGCTGCTATTATCAAGACTAGTTGATCGGAGTATTTTTTTTTGTTTTTTTTTTGCAAAAGTCGGAACTTGCTTCAAAGCAGCGGGGCTTTTATCCGGATGCGGTAAACAGTTTTGTATTACGCTTATCCGTAAAATCTAAATTGTTCAAAACGATTTTTCGGACTGCACTTTTTTATTCCATTTTACACGCGTCATTTGCAATAATATTTAGCGATAATAGTGTCTACGTAAACGCTATCGAGATTTTCTCGTCGAATTATTGCTACGCGTTTCGCTTGGAAATGTATGATCGAATCACAGAACGTCTTTGCAACTCGTATAATCGCTCGACTGCGGTTATTTCGCAACAAATCATATCTGAATCAGTCTGTGATTTGTAAATCTTCGGCAACATCAAGAACATCTCCGTATTTGATAAATCCCCATCCGACAGTGTACTTGAGATCATTTCCGCATTAACGAGCGAACGCGTCAGGTTGATACTTTGGTGTGGTTTTCGTGATATATGGCGGTGATTGCGCGGTGAGGAATGGCACGCTGAAATTCCAGCGAAGTTTCGTTAACGATGCGCCACGGCGGGGCGTCCGACGCGCAAAGAGCGCGAAGTCATTCGAACAATCTCCCTTTACTGTTATCCTTTACGTCCCCGCGCGCACGTTTCCGGAAGACGTGATTTCACGACGTCCGTATTTTACGACTCATCCGATTAAATTATGCTTTCTTCGAGTTTCATGAAATAATAATGATGCGTTATTTTCCATTGTAAACGAATCTTGACGCGCGCCCACGCAAAACGCGGGACAGACGGGACAGATAAGACTTTATCGTCGCGTTATCTCTCGCGGCGGAGAATTAAATGATAGATAGAAAAATTCTTGGAAGCACATTTTCTTCGCAAGGTAAGAAATTAAAATTTTCATACTTATTCCGCGGCATTATCACTTTTATAGCACGCATACAGCTACGGGACGCGAGCTCAGTCCACGTTCATACGTGTAGCGCCGTACACTATGCAAGCTGGTCACGCAACGGCCGGGCCGCACGCGTAACGAAGTAAAGAAAGAGAACGTTTAATTAAAAAATTCCTGGAACAAATTGATTCGTTTCAGTATGGTATTCTCGCAGTTAGACAGAACTATCCGATACGCCATTTCGAGCGACCGCGAATCGAATAGTTATAAACTTTTTGCAAAAGACTGTCACATCGCGAAATTACCAGTGTGCAATTTCGAAACCTGCAGTTGAAAGTGCGACAGTTTTTTCGCGGGAACGTTCCGTATAAACTCTCTTCGATCTTAATAAATTGCGGTTATACAGAGATACGACATATGCCAATATTGCATGCGGTGAAGAATATTGCATTCTAGTACGCGAAATAAACAAGAGAAAGAGAAAGAGAGAGAGAAAGAGAGAGAGAAAAAATGCAGATTTGACCCTTGATTGCTCGATTTCTCTCGGCGCTTTCTCACAATGACAATGTGGCAAATCCGCCGTGTAGATTTCTGGAAGAGAACCGCGAAACGCGTTCGAGGAGGACGAGCGGCAAAGTGGCGGTCGTATTAGCGATCGTATATAAAGAACAAAAGCCCGTTTCCACCCGCTGATACAGATACGCGGAATTCGCGTGTACGCGCCGTTGCGGTCTGCGGTTTGTGAATGGAGAATGCGCGAGCATCGTTGTGCCGCTGCTCGCACATAAACACGCATACGAAGCCGGGATTGAACGCGCGCGCGTTTACGGCAAGCGCTCGGGATAAATGAAATTCATAAGACGGGGTATCCTTGAGACGGGACTTTCCCGCGGCGGGTGGGCGATAGTTTCGCGCAAGGCGAAGCGAGAGAGGAGCCCGGCGGGGTTAGTGCGGGGGTCAGGGGGGGCTCGTGCAACAAGTGACGTTATTAGGTTGGCGCCGGAGGGCTGCGAGGGAGGGAACGGCGAATCATAATGCATAACTCTTGCCCGTCCTTGTCTTACCGCCCGCGCCCCCTTCGCGAGAGTGAGCGCGCGCGCGCGCGCGCGCTCCCGGCCATTCAACTTCTGCGGAATTGCTTGTGCCAGTTTAAACCGTATTACCCCCCGTGGACCAAAAATTAGCGGATACTCGATGAACTTTGCGCTAGCGACTCTTAATGAAACCGTCGACTATCTATAATAGGAATCTTGTTTCGATACCGATTGACACATTACACATTAATGGGAACTTTTTCGAATCTCGATCACCAGAGAAATAATAAAGATGTAATTTGCGAGAAACACACGCGGTTCAATCTTTAAGCATCGAACGCCGATTTGATTGATTGAACTGACGAAAGCTGACTTCGAGCAATCCTCGACGGAAATTAAGAAAAATTAACTCCGAGAGACGAATGGCGAGCTGCCACACCCGTGTTCGCGATAAGGACACCCTGGCACAATCCCCGCAGTCACATATCGTCCTTAATCTTCCTGATAAGGCTCGGGTTATGATACCGCCGGTGAACTTCAAAAGCTCGTTTGCGCCCTGATCGGTGCCAAGTTACGTCGAGCTCATTCGTCCTTGTCGCCCGATACGGTAATCGGTCCGAGGGCCGTGTCGCGTCCCAGAAAACCGAATCTCCATTCCGCTTCCCGGCGACGGACGCGAACCGCGAAAGAGACCGTTCGCCGCAGCCGTCGGTAACGGCCGGGGAAGACAAAGAGACTTTATTATGCGGGGGCAGGCGGGGTGGGGGGCGGTGGAAATTGAGAACCGCGAGGGCGGAGATTGGCAAGGATTGCCGGGTGTTCCCGGCGGCGTCGAACGGCGAAGACGACTGTCTTATATCCGCAGAACTCTCGGATTATTACCGCTCAAGACGGCCTTTCTTTCCCGTAATAGGTTGGAAACGCATTCGCCCGCTAATCGTGCGTCGTCGATTCTTTGCGCCGAGTACAAAGCCCGCCTTCGCTTTGCGATTCACAACAGAATTCGAGATGGAATTCCATCTATAATTTCGCACATCGCATCAGACGAAAGACGTTTGAAAAATCCAGGCGCGCACGAAGTGCTTATATCGGTGACATATGTTTTCGCATGTCTGTGGATTTTTATTCTTCAGAAGCTTTTAATTGTGTAAAAATGTACTTCTGTATATCTCGAATTTCGTTGTCGCAAATAACACAAAGCAAGCTCTATGACGCTAATCATGACGTTATCACTGACACACTTTACTCCACTTTGATTCCAGTTTAGCTCGCGTTTCCGATTCGCTGTTAGAGGACGACAAGGGATCGATTAAACTGAGATTATAGTTAATATTGGATGCCGGAAAAGTTTTATTTTCTCCCCGCTCGCACTTTCGTGGCTCTCAAGTTCTCAACGTCGGCGGCGATAGTGATTGAAATATGAATGCGTAAGAAGACAGCTGTGATGAACGTGTAGGCATAAAACTTATAGTCGTCGATACGTCTCTAACGTTGTAAGCATCATGAAACTTCGATCACGCCCGAGCGCATAAAGGGAGGCCCTTAAAGCTGAGTGAAATCTTAAAGATACCGCATGATGCGAGAAATGGTCTCGATCTGCACATGTAACAACGCGGACGCGATGCAACGAGGGTGAAAAAGAAGAAAACAGAGGAAGGAAAGCGGTGGGAAAAAAAAAACACTCTGATGGACGACAGCACCACGGTCGTGTGTCGTCAAGCCGGTCGTCGTCCTTTTTTCCGCCTCGCGGCCCCCTCTGTCTCTCGGCACTTGATTTCCGTCTTTCCCATTTTCCTCTTTCGCTCCGTATCTCGCCGGTTCCCTCCCCCGCTACCCGTCCCTCCCTCGTCTTCCACCCCCCTCGAGTCCGCCATTTTTGTTTGTATTTCGCGGTGATCGTGGACCGGAAACGGACGTCCGCGCCGTGAAAAATGGCCGCCGTTGCGCTTCCGGCACGGGAACGTTCTTCCCCCCTTGTCCCACGCGTTCCGCAAACCATTCCCCCCTCCCTCTTTTCCTTCTGTCCTGAATCCTGCCACCGACGCCCTCGTCCCAGGCCCTCGTCGACGAAACGGCGCGTTTTATCCAACCGACCCTCGTCGCGTCCTACCTTTCTGCTCTTTACCGCCGGTGCCATCCGACTTTGGTCATCGACCCGCGTCCGAACCGTGCCCATTTGACGCAACGCGCGCTACATGTGTCCCTGACGTTCCGCAAACCAAGCGTTTTATCATAGTTCCGCGCGCTGTCCAGTCGCGTTATTATAGTAATTGTCTCTCGACGCTTTCGCGATCTGCGGCCGTCCGTCGAGAAACGCGCTGGAAACGCGTCGCATCCGTTGCACAATTGCGACCAACACCCGGAATTAAGGATTCGCTTTAAATTAATGTGATTTTCAACGCTGCTTCATGCGCTATCGATTATCGCGATACGTTTAAGCTCATTAATTAACGCGTAATGTAAAATTTGCTCCGCTTTGACGGTGCGCGGTACAATGTTGGCAAAAAAGATTTGTACATTTGATTCAGAATTATTTACTCGTAATTAATTTCCAGCAACTTCGCACGAACTCCGATCTTTCTAACTCTCTCGTCCGCTGCAACTTGTTTCAGGAAAGTTTCAAGAATGTGTTGAGCTGATCCTATCTGGACATACTAGGGTTTCGGGAATGGATTCGACATTATTGCTGCTCCTACTGACCGGTAAGTTTAACGTTCGTAAGATACTGCGCCGTCCGGCGAGCAATTCGGGAGAAGCGCCGTCATTTCTTGCCGGCGTTGATGCATTTCTGTCCAGGTCATTAGCGTAGGATCTACAGTTTTAGACGGGCTTTCATAGAGACTATATTTGAAAGTCCCAGCAAAACTTCGCCGGCAAGTCCCACTTATTATAAACTTCGGTCCGGTAACGCTTCCCCTTTGCGACGATGAGTTACTCCGCAATGTTGAGAGGAACTACTTGCCGGGTTAAAACAGGCTCGCAAATTGCTGCTAGAAATTTTCCTTCATCTTATCCCATTTAATAAACCTGTCTCACATTCGTAATAAAGAAAATTTATGGTTGCCGAGGGAAAAATTTCAGGAGAAAAGCGTTTTTTTTTCTTTCAATAATACGAAGCGTAATAGGAAAAAGAGTATTTTGCGCTGCGTTGTGTTGTAAAATAAATTGCAAGTTTCATGTTTTGCGAGACCCGAGCAAAGTTTTCGGAAGATACGATTTCAATATGCAGTACGGCTTGATTACGCAAAAACCGACGGGTATCGGGGTCTTCGAATGCATTTTTTCGTGTTCCCGCATTTTTTGCCAATATTCTCTCGGCGAGCGCGAGCATATAAAGGGTAGAATAAAATTTGCAGCCTCTATTGAAGCGAGAATGTTCGGGGAAAGTGACTTCGATTTGACGCTCCGTGAACTTGCAGAATAACTCGGCTCCGCCGTCTCGCACTCCTGCCGCCGGAGTCGGCCGGCGGAGAGAAAAGCGAAAAACGCGTCCATACGCGGCGCGCACCACCGTCCACGGTCGATGACCACGTGGAAGGTAGGAGCGAGGACGAATGCGAGAGCAGGACCGGGGAAAACAGAGAGAGAAAGAGAGAAAGAGAGAGAGAGAGAACGAGAGAGAACCGAGAGAAGAGGAAAAAAGAAAGAAGTACGTTTGGTTTGGCAGTGGGCGGTGGGCGTCGAACTCGGGACATCGCGCGCGGATGACGAGTAATCGATCACGAGCACTCTGCCAACACACTACGTGGCGAAGAGCACGATGGTTCTCATTCGGCACGAAGCGGGAGAAGCGGCGCGACGTCGAATTCGCCGTTTTTCCGAAAGTGTTCCGCGCGAGATCGCGAGAGATGAAAAACGTCGGCGCGCGCGGGACGAAGAAGCCCGGTAACGCTTAAGTCCGCCGCTACGGCGGGGTGAGGGACGCGTGAAAAATGATCGAGGGATGACTCCGTCGCTAGTAGCACGCGTATCCCTCACGCCGATGTTAATTCGAGACGCGTCGACTCTCTCGGACACGTCAAGAATTAGTTTCGGAGAAATTCGATATCCGGACGCGATGGCGACGGTGTGTCGATGAACCTGCGAGGGGAGCCGCGTCGGGAGCTGTCGCGCAAATCCCTCAGCATAGCTGAGAGCCATGCGCCGGAGATATTTGCGGACGAGTTCGTAATGCTTTCGCGAAAAATACAGAAACCCCCGGCTGGCAACCCTGCCCTCCCCCCCGGCACTCCGGTTACCCCGGCCGTCCCTGTATCGATTTTTGTCCGATGGAGTATCGCGATACTCGCCCTCTCACCACCTCTCGCTCTCCTCTCCATCCCCGAT